AAATTATTGGGCGTTGGAATATATGAAGTTTTGACTCATTTCAATAACCACAAAATCACATCTTAGTTGTGTAACTTGCTCATCAGCCCAATAATTACACTTATCTACGCTAATTTATCATAGTTAAATTCATAAATTAGAGTGAAAATATATATTAATTAGACGTAACGATATACGTTATATATTTAATCATATATTTATTAGATTGATAAAACACAAATTCTTACTCTATCCCTTGATAACCCTGTCAACATAATCAAATGAAGAGAATTATTTAATATTTTTTTCTCAGTATATAAATATTAAATAAATTTGCAAGTATTTTGAATATGAATTTCCTTAATGGATGAAACTAAATGAAGGTCCGAATCAACTGATATTGAAGAATCAACGAAAATTGAACTAACTACATTAATAAGACCCAATACTTAGATCTAATATAATAGCCTTTAATATGTCACAATCATGAAAACCATTTAATGAAGAACATAGTTTTATTTTCAATGTTTAGAAAAATGGAAATAGAAGACTTTGAAGAAACAAAATTTAAAGAGGTAAGACACTTTTTTTTAACGAGCTTTATACCATATGAATTGAAATATACAAATTCATTTATCCTATATATCTCTTTTTATTCGTAAAAAAAGTGTATCAGACTTTTTTCTAGATATACCAAAAACTATTGAGAAATATGTAAATAGAAAATTACGGTAAGATTTTTTATTATAATCTGCAAGCATTATATATATAATATATAAATGTAAAATATGAATATCGAATTTAAGTATGAAATTAGAAAAAGTCAAAATAAAACAAAAAAACGTCATAGCTTTGCCTCCACAATAAATATGTAGCTCACTAGGTAAATCAAAGTCAACTGGAATTAAATGAAGAGATAGAAATTGAGTTTGTCAAACTTGTTATTATAAAAGGGGAAACAAAATAAAATAGAGTGATGATAAAAAAAATTAAGTCAATAGAATTAAATGAAGAGATAGAATTAAATTAGTCAAACTTGTGTTTTTACTCCAATTACACCTCCCACTAAAAAAAAAGTAAAATACTACTCTTTCAAAATCAGTTTGACTAATTTTTAAAGAGAAATTAAATTATATTAGTTTGCTATTTTAAATAAAAATTTAGTGATTCAAAAACTATACGAAAAGTATTATAAATTATAATTTTGCATATCAATATGATGAAAAAATATATCCTAAAATATTAGTCAAAGTGCTTATAATTTGACTATAAAAAAGAAAAACATGACAATTGAAAGTAGACGGAGATAGTATTTCCTTCGTCCTCAAAATTTATCACATTCTTTTTGAGCATTAATTGAATTACTATTTAAAATTAAATTAATTTTTTATTATAAAATTTAAAATGTAAAAATTAAAAATTGGAAAAAATATTATAAATAAAAGATTCCTCCCATACTAGTATGACAAAAAAAAATATATATTAAAATATTAATAATTTAATTATCAAAAAGCAAAACATAACAAATATTTTGAGACGGTAGAAATAGGCAATTGGGACATTGATGTTGAATTTTTTTATAGCATAAGCCGTTGCCTCTATCTAATTTTAGGCAAAAAATAAATCAACTATCAATTTATTTAATTAGTCCGTATTTTAATTTATGAATGGTTCATTGATGAGTATAAATAGCATAGTAGGATGAATAAAATTCCTTTATTTTATAAATATAATTAGAAAATTTGAGTTTGAAGAAAATTAATTTTTATAGTGTAAAAATACTAGAAGATCGACGTAGATTGTGATTGAATAGCTGAAATTCTTCGTTATTATTGAAAGCATCGTCTCTAAATATAAGCTCTGTAGAGCAATATATAAATTCAAATTAATCGAGCTCACATATGAATACCTAACATTAAATTAAAAAAAAAACTTACAAGATGATAATGTTAATGTAAAATTAATAGGGAATCTTAGTAGCTTAGTTGATTGGTTACCCCGACCTTGTTGATAAGAATTTGATTTCCCACGTGGTAATCACCTTCCCCTACCCCTGATTTAAAAAAAAAATAAAGAAAAATAATTAACTAATGGATGCATAATGCAATAAATGTTTTCAATTAATTTATAACTGCTAAAATTATAAATGAACAATAATTTTTTTATTTCTTTTTATATAAGTGCTTTCAGAACGAATAAAAAAAAACTAAAAAAGGTGTCAGATTTTGTCAGCAAACCTCAGTAAGAAGCAATCTATAGAAAGAGCCGTTGGAGTATACACTTCGATTTTTTATTTTTTTTAATTCTTTTTTCATATTCGATATTTATTAAGAGTCTGATCAAATTTAAATTGTGTATTGTAAGAATCATTTTGAAAGACAGTTTCTTCCAATAGAACTGGTTTTCATTCCCAAAAGTTGAAGCTCGAAATCTTTAATTAAAAATGAACAGGATAATAATATTTGGTTTGAGGTGATAATGGTGTTTTTTTTTAAATAAAAATATTACAGCATTATACTTGCTATACAATTTTCTATATTAAATTTTGACATAATTAGTATGAAATCTATGTGTAACTAATATAGTGTTCACTTCTGTAATGTTTATGCAGAGTTCAATAAGAAAAAAACCAAAAAATAATTATTATTAATTCTGTTGTTTGAACGCTTTAAAATTATTATCTCACTCATAGCAAATTTCTTTAAGGTACATATCTTTTAAAAGATCTAATATATATAATATATAACAAAGTTTTTAAGAAATTCAAGTATTATGCATTATTAGGATTGGTGTAATTTATACGCAAATTCCTGAAATATTTTACGAAATGTTATATTTTATTTTCATAAAATATTTTTTCTTGAGTCGAGATTTTTTAGAAATGATCTCTCTATCCCTAAAAAAGAAACACATTGGCGTGTACACCCATTTTTTTTTCTAAACTTGATTCACTTTTGAAAACACACTTGGCTCAAGGATTTATTAAAAAATCTCACTTTAAAAGGTAAAATATTACTATCTATCAAAAACGGCTTCATTCTTAAAGCTCAAATCCTTGAAACAAATTGCCTATTTAGTGTGTCCCCCCCCCCCCCCTTCCCTGCCACCCCTTCCCCACCTCCACCCCTTTTTAAATAAAAAATATATATTTCTTTTTTGTTAACTTTAATCTTATGACAGTGACAAAGTCTATTTCTTGAAGTTGGACCATTGGGTGACAAAAAGTCACATGATGGCTTGGCATATTTACATGTGATGAAACTACTCACCCATTGCTCTTAAAAAAACACACAAAATATTTTTCAATTCGATATTCAATATTTATTTTGAAACTTTGATTGATTTAAATTTATATTACGTAAAATTTATTAAAAGAAAAATGTATTATCTATCAGAATTTTTTCATTTCTCTAACTTTATCTCGAAACCTCTAAATAGAAATAAAAGAATCATATCCACCATCATACTATTAATCTCTAGGCGATAAAACAACGATAGGCTCATTAAGGGATAAGCCTCCTTCTTTAAAGTTTTCACTGGTAAATAAAACAAATTTTAAAATGTTTCCTTTAAAATATCATCGAAAATATGTTATTTTCATCGAAAACGCTTCTGATGAGTCAATTTCAATGACCGTCTCCTAATTAATTGCATAAATTGCATAAGACACATTAATTATCACCTTGAATAGTATTCTATAGAAGCAAAGTCATGATGAAGCAAATAGAATTAGGTATTTTGGTAACATTCAATTCTTTAAGTCAAGAATAGCCAAATTTCAATCATGGAACAATTGAAGTATTGCATTTCTTCACGTATTGTTCAAAATATCCATATATTATCTAATAAATGCCTTTAAAGTTGGGAGAATAATATTTCAATGGAAACAAATACAAAAGGAAAGTTTCAACTAGGACAAATTAGTCTAGAGCTTCTAGGAAAAGGCTAAAAAATTGAAACTTCCAGTGTGATGCGATTTTGAATTAGTCATGTTAATAAATATTGAATATCGAATATTAAAGTGGGTAGATGTACAAAAAAAATTTAAAAATTAGTAAATGTTAAATAACGACATCCAAATAAAGTATCCTTGGTTTTTTTTTTTGGAAAAATTACACGGTCAGACAAATATGTGTTATGTATTTAATAAACACAACTATAATTTAAAAGAATTAAATTACATAGCTAAACTTAGAGTTTTATAGCTAATTTCTTCTCTCTCACAATCTCTCCTTGACTCTCTCCTCACCCATCTCTCTCTTCCCTGGCTCCCTTCTCTGCCTTTCTCGTCGCATCCTTCTCTATCTCTTGCTTGAATTGAAATTCAATAAGCAACAAAAGACCAAGTGTTCAAATGAGATATTATTGATACAAATCAGGCTAGAGATGATGGAGACCTCTCTTGTTTCTCTTCAATTTTATACTCAGATTCTCAGTATGCTTGAACGAGGAAGAGATACTATATTGATACAATATTGTATCAACCGTATTCTAAAATAGTATACAACACATGATCAATACAAATGTATAACAAGGACAAAATACAATTAAAGCATTGATACAAATCTATAACTAGTTGCAGATCCACTCAAATACATTAATAGAGACTTAATACATAAGTTGTATTGATTGATACAAAACAATTGTATTTGTGATACAATCCAATACAACACATACATGTATTCATCCTCTCTCTTATCCAATCTCACTCACTTCTCTCCTACCCCTTCCAATCCCGCTCGCCTCTCTCGCTCTTCTAACATGTTATGAATCGTAATTAAGCAAACTTTAACTATAAATCTCTAATTAAGCCCAAATTGTAGTTATTTTTAGAAGTTGCTCATATTTTTACTCACAAATTATAAATGTTCCCATGGGCTTATTAATGGACCTACAAAATGACACAATGGATCTCTTCAGATCCAATTTTAAAGGCCCAATTCATTGACCCGAAAAACCCAAAAAAATAGAAGAACACACTTATTTTGAACACCTGAAGAAAATCTTCAACAATTCAAGAACACAAGCAAAAAAAAAAGATTTTTTTTCTTCTCTGTAGTGGCTTTCAATGCAACGTTTCAATGAATTCTTCCTAAATTATCAAACCCCACTTGCTAGATTTGTCACTTCTCGCCATTCTTGCAGCAAATTGTTCATTGGAGGTCTGTAGTGATACTACGATTCTGTTTCTTTACTTGTGTATCATGATTAGCATATAGTTTTTTGGGGTTTCTCGCCCGGTGTTCGGTACCTGTATTGGGGTCCCACTAATTCTGGGAGTTCATACCAGGTCGAAACCGAGAGCTCTAGTTAAGAATGAAGGGGTATATGGTATGGGCGTATAGTTTTGAAACTATATGGTTATGTTTAGTTTTGTATTCCTAAATTCAGCTTAAATGTTATGTATTACCTTTTCATGAAAAAAAAAAAGTTCAAATTTTTAGTCATATTGGCATAGCAATTGAACAGTTCTAGTTGGGGCTCTGGCATAGCTCTATTTGGGTATGTTTCTTTCTAGCAATGTTAAATTTTTTTGTCTAGGATTCTGTTTTAGAGTTTCTTGGAAGATTAAGACTGCTAAGTAAAGTTGGATCCCGCTTGGTTAGCTGGATTTAAGTAGCTTTTATGCACTGGGGGAGCTGAATTTATGTACAAGCAGTTATGTGTTTAGATAGAAGTGTTGTTACGTGTTTAGATAGTCATATTTACACCTTAGGGATAAAATAGCATTTCCAGAGAAGATTCTTTTGAATAGTTGGATGAGCTATAGTTCAGCAGTATTTCTGTGGGACAGAGATGTGGGATGTAAAATGAAAGTTGATATCGATAATTAACTCTGTTTTGTGGAGTTTGAAGCACCGTGATAATGTATGTTGTCAGTGCAGAGATTTTCCTGTCTCTTGCTAAGTATTTTAGCTTGGATGAGTCCTTTTGACTACCCTGATGCACGTGAAGCTAAAGATTTCTTCTCGTGTCTCTCTGTGCTTAGTTGATTTCTTCCTTGATGTTGATGTAGTAGTTTCATTCTTGAAAATATCTGATCTTTCCATATAAATGATTTTTCATTCTTACAAATTTTAATGTGGGAGTCTGTGAGAGGTAAAAGAGTATTTCCGGCAGTTTCAAGAAATCCTCTGTTTCAGTTTTGAGATGCGGAGACAATGGGGTTCATTCCTCTGCCTTTCTCCACTTCAAAATCAAACTTGGTTACACAACTAGGTTTCAAACTTGTGAGTTGTGACATGCAGCTACCACACATCCAGCAGCGTACTACCTTTGCTGTTGAACCAAAACCGAGGTGTTGTGTTAAAGTTAGGTTCTTTTTCTGGTCACTTAGACGACAGACATAATTTGCTTCCAGGGGAGGTTGTTTTGGTTGGGTGTGTGGAATGGCGGAGAGTGCTCTTTGGATGACAGTTTTATCTTGTTAATTGAGCAAAAGCAGCACCGGAATTAAGAGCTGATGATGGATTAGCGGTAACATGTTTGCACTAGAGTACATAGGGAACCTAAAGCCTGAAAAAACTGCGATTGCATTTTAAGCTCAAATCCAGATGAACACCTGTTGTCATATCTAAAAACTGAAGGACAATGCAAAGGATGATAAATTTGGATACTTGTTAACGCGAAATCTCCTCTCTACCACACAAAGGTAGGGGTAAGGTCTGTGCCCCCCCCCCCCCCCCCCCCTCAGACCCCACATGTGGGACTATACTGGGTATTTTGTTGTTCACACGAAATCTGTTTCTTTCAGGGCTTTGTTATGATACCAATGAACCTATTCTTAAACAAGCTTTTGAGCAACATGGTGAAACAATTGAAGGTAATGTATGGATTACAGTACTTCTCTTTGTTCTTGCGACTTGCTTTTAGATGGTTTTATAAGCTTATTAATTTTCAGTGAAAGTAATATGTGATCATAAAAGTGGAAAATCCAAAGGATATGGGTTCGTGAAGTTCACTTCTGAAACTGCAGCTAGCAAGGCCTTGAAGGAAATGGACGGTCAAGTAAGTGTATTAGTGGTATAAATGCTCCCTATATTCTTATATTTTTCTTACAGTTCTTGTTTCCTGGACTATCATATTGTTTGTTGTAGTTTCTGTTTTGTTACTATCTACTGTTTTTGTTATTATCTGTTGTTTCTTGTACATCCGCTACTTCTTTTTCTGGACTGCTTTGGACTGTCTTTCCTTGTTGTTGTCTTACGGTTTTTGTTTTTTATGTTTCTTAGTTATTGGATGGAAGAAATATTCGCATCAGTTATGCCCACAAAGGATGACGTTGAGAGGTTTCAACTCTCATCTTTCCTTGTAAGTTTCTAGATTCTCCACTCATTGTCATGTCTTATTGCTTATTCCCACACTACTGTTGATCTTTGAGTTTGATATATGCTCTCTTATGCCTCTTCACTGCAATATTGATAACCTCCAGCTAAGAATTCTTAAATGACTCGACAATAGGTAAGGTTTCATCTTCTGACTTAGGTGTGTGCAAGAACTAGCGATTTTCAGCCATGAAAGTTGTATTGAAGATTGTCTTGATTCGGGAATTTAGTCGAGGGAGAAACATCCACCAACCAAAAAGGTCTTATACCATGATTCATTGACTCTGCATCACGTGTCAGGCAAGTGATTACAGCAAGCTGGCATGACGTTCTGGTGATAGTTAGCTAGTCGTCTAACAGGTCTGGATCAAACTTTAATTGGTCCATTTTCTTTTTTCCCTTGTACCTATAGGCGATTTCCCGTTGCCTGTAATAGCGAGGATCATTGTTCAATTTTTACAGCTGTTAGAAGGAATAGAAGGAAATTTTTAATTGCAATAGCTTTGAACTTTTTGAGGGAGGAAACTCCAGTAAGTTGAACAAGGAGTTGAGTTTTGCACTTACATTATGCTATTAGCATGGATGATACAGGTTGTCATAAAACCTTGTACATACTTTCTATACCCAAGTTTGTTTTAGTACAACAACTAGGTCACAGTCTCAAATAAGTTAAAGTTAACTATACGAATCCTCACCGCTTGTGTGAGCTTACTCACATTCCCGGTCCCAAATCAGATAAAAAGAAGAAGGTTGTGGTAGGATTGAACTAACATAGAACTAGCCAATTCATAATGAATCAACACAATACTAAACAACTTGGTTTGTTAAGGAATTCTTTTAACTGATCAAAGAAAGTACAACAACAACAACATACCCAGTGTAATCCCACAAGTGAGCTCTGAGGAGGGTAGAGTGTATGCAGACCTTACCCTACCTTGGGAAATAGAGAAACTGTTTCTGATAGACCCTCAACTCAAGGGAAAAATAGTCCAAAGCAGTCCAAAGTACAAGAAGTAGCAGATAGTAAAAACAACAACAAATAGTAATAGGGCAATAACTACAAAATAATATGATAGTCGAAGTATAAGAAATAACAAATAATAACATAAATCGGAGGACACAAAACTAAATGAGCAATACTACAACTACTAGCATGGACATAAAACATGACAATCCGCTCCCACCTTACATGCATCTTGACTAATTCCACGGGGCAACTGCCACCTCACACCAACAAAGCTACCGGATAACTCTGTGATCTATCAATACTTGACATGATTGCTAATGTTACGACGAATTTAAGACCAAATGATCCAAGACAAATATCAAATCTGTTTCATAATAAACCTTTTGATGAACATAGGAGTCTATGAACTAAATCTTTTGTCATAAAACAGTCTAATGTAGGTCATCTAGTTCATCCAATTGAGCATTTGCAAACAACTGAGAAATGTAAACAAGATCATTTAGAGAGAAATAGAAACAATAATCTCACTGATAAGTGATAGCCATAAAAGCTACTCTTATCTTGTGATATGCGTGATAAAAGAATCCAACTCCATTCGAGAAGCACCCCCTTTTTCTGTGGAACGCCTTACAGCTTCTCCCAATTCTTCTGATCTTTTCCTAATTGCATCACCTTCTTCAGATGCCATCAACTTCCTCACTACATTCTCAATAATGGATGCACTTACTAGCTCCTCACGTTTCTCCCACTCCCTCACAAACAAGCCTATTTTCAATATTTCCGTCACCAAGAAACTATTTCTCGGTTGATCAGAGTGCATAGGTCAAGCAGTTATAGGCACCTCCATAGTAATGCTCTCTATGCAAGAATTCCATCCGCAATGACTCATGAACCCGCCTGTGGACGAATGAGCCACGATTTCGGGTTGTGGCGCCCATTCTCTCACCAGTAACCTGACCCCTTTTACTCTTTCCTCAAATCCTTCAGGAAACACACGTTTTCTAGATTCCCCAGTAAATATATCTACTCTATTGGCTTCTCTCAACACCCATATGAACTTCTGTTTGCTTTGTTCTAATCCCATCGCGAGCTCCATGACTTCTCTATCGGAAAATGTAGTTGATGTTCCAAATGATATATAAAGAACTGATCTCGGAGGTTGTTTGTTCAGCCATTCCAAACATATATTGTTCCTATTCGAGATATGATTGAGTTTAATAGGCAGAATTGGTCCAATTGCCCATTGTTGTTTACTTTCTACTTGTGCCAGCAAATCAAGAAACTCGCCTTCAATTACTTTACTTGTATTATGGATATCACCTGTTCTAAATGCCATATATGGACTCTGAAGAGCTATAAAGTTCTTGACTTCATCAGGCATCGCTCCTTCAAGGGACGGTAGCTTTTTAAGCAATTCTTCTCCAAGTTGGACAGACATTCCACTAAATAAGCATGAAGAACAGTACAAAGTGAAAGCTGAAATGCAATTAAATATATAGGATTCAGCATTGAGCAAGGGAGAAACATCCTGAACACTATATGACATAAAAAAGTCATGAACAACAATGAGTCGTCTTGATTTTGAGGAGATATCACGTAAAAAGGAAGCAATGGGCTCGCGAAGAAGCAAAGTTACATCCCATAATGGCTGATGATGTAATGGGAATTTGCTTAAGGCATTAAAGTCAGGGGGAGGTGAGGCAAATTTCAGGAGTTGGAATGTCATGAAAGTGGATTTTGGCTATGTCTAAAGGATTTAAGGCGTTGGCTCGAACCTGAGCTTGTTGGTTATGTGTGGCTAAGCCAACATAATAGACAGGAAGATCATATGATGAGGAGAGTAAACAGGCTAGTTGAAGAAGTTGATTGAGATGGCCTTGAATTGGAAATGGAACCATGACTATAACTACTTCATGATCCATAAGAAAGTCGTTACCTTTGCCCAAGTTATAGAAGATTCAATCCAACTCACTACTGCTTTTGAGTTACTTGAATCATGTGTGAGCGTGCGAGTGTGTATGTTTATATGTAGGAAGAGGATAGAATAGCAAGTTTAAACCTTGGAAAATGTGTGAAGGTGAGAGGAGGGTAGGCTTCATTAAACACGTTTGGATTATTGAATCTGGTTATTTACCTTTCAACTTTTTAAAAGGCATAAGGACCACAAAGTTCATGGTGATGAAAGAGAAGTGTGTGGTCAGAAGTATTGTATCAGAGTTTTGGAGTCATGCATGAATTATTGAATCTTAATTATGTACCTACCTTTTCTCATAAAATGCTGTTGTTCACATTCCTCAATTGTCTGCATTTGTTATATTTTGATGTTTCTTTATAACCTACAACATGGTACTATTTTATGATAAAAGATTTTGTTTGTAGATTCACATTCCTCAGTTGTTTGCAATGGACTCGCGAAGAAGCATACAAGCATTCCAGATCACCGGGATTTTGCCTGAGGTAAAATCAGGACTACTTGGGAGGTCATAAAAGTGGATCTTGGTAATGTTAAAAGGATTTAAGACGTTGGCTCGAGCCCTAGCTTGACAATTATAAGTCCTTTGGAGTTTGGACAGGGCTCAAGTCAACGCCTTAAATGACCTTAAAGCTTGAAGTTTGAACAATCACTACAACTACTTCATGATCTTGTTTCAAATTGCTACTGATTAGTTCGTTCATTTATTCATTGTTTTCTTTCTTTCTTAAATATCGTATTTGTGTGAAGAAATTCACTTTATATATATGTACTTTATTTAGAACCTAATAAACTGTCTTTACTAAAATTCAGAACTCATTAACTCAAAATTTTGAATTCGATGCTTTGCTGACTTAGTAGAATGGGATGTTGTAGCCTGTAAGTGGAGACAATGTACATAGGACAAGTTGGAAATCTTGCTGAGGATGTCCTTTTCTTGAATAGGTAAAAACATGAATTTGATCATAAAAATATACAGTCCATGAATCTATTTAATTAGTTCAAGCCAGTTGCTCTCATAAACTAATTAATTTATATGAATCCATTTGCATAATCAATCATTGATATAAAATAATTATCCAAAACCTGTGAAACTTCTTATCCAACTTATGGGACCATAATGTCACTTCTCTGAGTATGATGACACATGGAAAGATCTTGACCGTTGATTTTAGACGAGTTTACGTTATATAAATGACAATACAAAATTACACAATCAGATCATCTAAAAGATATCAACTACACGTAAGCGCCTATAACAATTGAGATTAGTTATTTAAAACATGCACTACTAAATATATATAAATTAAGGCACTTGTGGCACAATGACAACCATTGAATGGAGATGGTACATACATTGATCCTTGATCCTATGTTGCTCGAACTTTGCAAAAATGTCGTCACACCTATGTCAGATCCTTATGCACTAATTTTAGAAGATCTGACATGTTTTCAGTCGACATTTTTGAAGAATCCAACCAACATAGCTGATTGATCTAGGGTTGATCAAATTTGCCTTGTTATGTGAGAAATGAATGAATCCAACTCCATATTCTTAATGCCACTTTCTGCTACTGAATTCTTAAGAGCTCCACTCAAATCCATTGCTCTATTCCTCATTTCTTCTCCTTCTTTAGACGCCATTAATTTTTCAACTGCTGCTTGCACCATGCCACGTGTCACCACCTCGTGCCTACGTGTCCACTCCTTAACAACTAAGCCAACTTTTAAAATCTTCGTGACCAATACGGTGTTTCGGGGTTGATCCGAATGCATTGGCCACGCGGCTATTGGCACCCCCATGGAAATGCTCTCCATGCACGAATTCCATCCACAATGACTCATGAAACCACCAACAGAAGAATGTGCCAAGATTTCCAACTGAGGTGCCCAATCTCTCAACACAATCCCTTTATCTTTAACTCTCTCCTCGAACCCTTTTGGCAATTCAATCTTTCTTGATTGATGATCCTTCGAGAAAACATTCCCTTTATCCGCGTCCCTCAGCACCCAAACGAACTTCACCTCGCTCCTCTCCAATCCAATTGCAATCTCCTTGATTTGTTCGTCAGAAAATGAAGTCGTGGTCCCAAATGACACGAATACAACGGAGTTTGGCTCGTGTTCATCGAGCCAAATTAGACATTCATGTTGCTTGTGACAACTTTTGGTCCCATATTGTTGTACTAAAACAGGATTGAATGGTCCAAGGGCCCATTGCTTCTTGTTATTACTTATTTGTTCCTTTGACAACAAATCAAGAAAAGGACCTTCTATAACTCTACATGTGTTGTAAATCCTCCCTGAATTGAACTTCATATAATCATGTTGTAATTTAATGAATTTCTCAAATTCAGGACTAAAACAATCTTCAAGTGATGGAACATCTTTTAGAAAATTTGCATCAATATCAAAAGGCCTTCCCATATTCTCCCATATGAACAAGAACAATGTGAATGCTGACACACTATGGAAAGCATAAGCCTCAGCATTAGGCAAGTAGACAAAATCTTGAACTACATATCCCATTAATGAGTCATGTATGATGACAATCCTCTTTGCTTTAGACGAGAGGACAGCTAGGAGTTTGGACAAAGGTTTACGTAGATGAGAAGATGACTCAAACGAGGGTTGGAGATGGCTTGGGAATTTGATCGTGGAATTCGGGTTGGAAGGAGGGGAGTTGAAGAATGGTGTTGAGAGTTCATGAAAATGGATGTTGTTGTTGTTGATGAATGAATATGGATCATGAACTCTTGATTTAGCTTGATTAATGTGCGTCATGGTTGTAACATAATGGACTTGTATGTTGTGTGATGCAATGAGTTTACATAGTTGTAGAAGTTGATTTAGATGGCCTTGTGCTGGAAAAGGGACAACAACTACTATGATTTCTTGATTTTCTTGGCTATGGAAATGGAGAGTATTGGAGGCCATTATAGAGAACTATACTATATGAAATGTTTTATTTCAAAACTATAGTGTGAGCTTTACATTTATATTAGAAGTTTTTTTTTTTAGGTTCAATGTTTTGGCTAGCCACTTGTCCCAACTCACCCATCCGTCAGGGGACATCCGATATAATTGGAACGATACAGAGAAAATTAGATGACCCCAGTGCAAAGATAACACACTAATTGAGAAATGGTCCCAACTCATCTCTTTTTGTTGTGTATTTGGGAGACTAGTTATTGTTGAGGGGTATCTGATTGTTCTATTTTATGTGGTACTATTTCTTTACTTGTCAATTAAAACAAATGATGTTGTTTTATATGGGGTGACAATATAACTTTAAAAACTTTTGTTTTACCCTTGACGACATGCTTTTGTAGCCACTTAGATATATCGTGGTAAGACTACAAGTTTTATAATAGTTTCTTTCTTTGACCCATGCCGAGTCAAATTTTGTAGCGTAAATTGATATTTCACTAATTTTCATTTTTTTTTAAGTTTAACTATATGTATTCAAAGCTCACTGACTAATTCAGAATTATGTCATGTAAGATTCATTTTAGATGGAAGAGTTTCCTACTACAAATTTCCATTCCTAAGACATGAACCGAAATTTCTAATAAAAGAAGGATGGATCCATCAATTTAGTTAATCGACAAAAAATTACGAACAAGACATATATTATAAGTACTTATTAATTTGACATAAATATTGGATGCAAATAATTTTCTTTTAATCCATAGCCAGGCGATATTGGAACAGGGATAAAATAAATTTGTTAGTTTTATGCAATGAACTATTACACTAAATTATACCATGTGATTTGACAGCTGTAATTGATGAATAAAATTTTAGCAAATTCACACAAAAAAGTCTAGTATTATGATGCAAAGATTTTAATGTAGGACATGTTATTAATTATTTTGTCACATGCTTCAATCTTATCTATTTGTGATATTAATATTTGATATGAACTGGATTTTAAATGTTAGTTTGATATTGTGTATAATATATTAATTAGAATTTAGAGGTTTCGATTTGAAGTCTGAATTTCGATAAATTTAGCATTTATATTTATATGTACACGTGTACTTTAGTATATTTTTTTAATTTTTTAAAAATAAATTTCTGATTGAGCCATTGACAGAGTCTAAGCTCAAAACAAGCTTCTCAACCTATTTGCAACAATTCTTGCGGATCTATAATGATTGTTATGAATTTACGTAAATTTAATTGCTTTTATATGTTAATTTGTATATTTCAATTTTTTAAATAATAATTATAAATATTTAATAGTAAACTTATTTATTATTATAATATAAACGTAATGTTATTATAGAAAACTGTTTCAACTTTAAATTTTGAATCTATCTTTACGAAGGGTCGAACATGTTCTCTTTGTTTCACCAACATATTCTTATCTTACATTAGTGGTGCAAAATCAATAGACATGATCTCAACTGGTTTCCAATTAATGCAACTAAAATTTCAATTTGTTTTTTCCCACATGATTGACAATTTATTTTTATTTTTGCAAATTGCAACTAGAAAGCAAATAAAAAATAATTATTATTATGTAGGGTAAGGGCCAATAGTTCTTATAGTAACACTATGGTCGACAATAGCTAGATGATAATATTGCTGATTAATTTGATATATATCTTTACCTACAATTGTTTTTTTTTTTTTTTTTTATAAAATATAATTAACCATGATATTTATTTATATAATATATGACACGTTTTACGTCGACTGTTAATTTACCGCAATCCTCACCTTCAAGTTATTGGTTCACCTAACCCTATAATATTCACGAGTCGCTAGCTAATTTAAATAAATTCAAGAAGTACGTACAAAACTACTATTCCATTTCAATTGGAAAATATGGTCAAATGATTTTAATAGTGTAATTGATCAAGGGGATATTAACTTATATCACGAGAGGAAATTTTGCACGGAATTCCATTAATGCATGGGTGGCTCCCACGATTCATGTAACAAGCATCAATTGTTAATTGTATTATGAAGATTCATCACAAAATAACAAATTTTACGCTAATCATCAACTAATTAAAATAATAAATTTTCATTATCTGACTGACAACTTACTTGAATATATCCCTTTATATAATTCGAGATACACAATATGAGCAAGCTCACGTTTATGAAAATACAAGGAGGTGTGTGGGGCGGGGGAAGAGGGAATTATGTACATCCTACCATATGTTTCACTAATAAAAGCATAAAAGTAAAAATTGGGACCATAAGTAAGGAAGTATTTAAATATACGGAGGCATTTATTATTATATTACCTATTAGAAATTGACCTTGTAAACTTGTTTTAGATTTTTAATTTTACATTTAAATTTTATGAACGATCTACGGTTCTTCTATACTTATTTAGAAGGTAACTGTTACCGTTATATCTACGAAATCGAATCGAAAACCGAATCAAACCGCAAATTGAGTCAACTCGAAAAAAACTCGACTAATGGTTTGATTTTGAAAAAAAAACCCGACTATATTTGGGTTGGTTTGGTTTTAACTAAAAAAAACCAACCCGAGAACAAACTAACCCGACATTATATATATAATTTTAAAATTTTATTTTATACATAAAAATATTTACTTTGATATAATTTTTAAATATTTCTTATACTTTTTCATAGTTTTTATCTTTTAATATATTATTTCAAGTTTGAAACTTAGAATTATGAATGAGCCAATAAAGATTATAGTCCACAAATGTTGGTAATTATAATAAAGCTTAAATCAAAATCAAATTAATACTAATGCAAAAAGAAAATCAATTCAACACTAAAAATGACAATAATATTGAATATTTGTTCTTTAGTTTTACATTGGTTTAGACAATTAAAATACATAATCTAATTTTAATTTCCTTTAATATTTAGTCATGTAACTAATACTTATTAAATTTAATTTTAGCATGATTTAGTACTTTTAAATTATGATCATTTTCATTATGACTTGTTAATTTGCAATATTTGTTTTACGCAATTTCATTATTATTATTTTTGTTGGATATTTTAGTGTCATTAATCATATCATATTATGTTACATTTTTAAGAAACATCTTAAATAGTTGTATTTTGGTAGGACTAAAGAAATATTTGAAGTACTAGTAAATTATATGTTTGTATGAATACTTTACCGGAAAAACCCGAAACAACCCAAAAAATCCGAAAAAACCCGAGTTTTATTGATTTGATTTGGTTTATAAATTTAAAAATCCAACACAAATAATTTGATTTGATATTTGAAAAATTCGAATCAACCCTACCATGTACACCCCTATAAATGTCACATATTAATGTTATGTGACTCTCTCTTCTCTTAACAAAAAAAAAAGACAGGTTCAAATCAAATATTGATTTGCATATTATATTGTAGACGTCAACTCATTCTTAACAAATAGAATAATAAGCGTAAATCTAAAGTAAGGAAGAAAAAATGAGTTATTCTAAAATGCCAAATATGTTAATGTAAAATTTATTTATCGGATTAATATTTGACTCTATTGGGGCGGCTCAATAGATTTGAAAAAAAAGCAATTATCTTAGGCCCCAAAATTTGAGGGGCCTCATTTTTAAAAAAATAAAATAGGTTCTAAGTATTTTTTTTAAATAAAAAATATAGAGTATTACTTATAGAAAATAAAAATTTTCATAAAAGAGTAAAGAAGTAATAGAAGTTCGACAAATTATGAATATTATATCTCAAGAAAAATTAAATAATTAGCTATAATAAACTTCATAAAAAATATATATTTGAATTTAAGGCCTCCATTCGAATTTGGCTTAAGGCCACCGATTTATTAGAGCCGCCATGGAATCTAAAACTAAAAAATATAGCGGTCCAAACCGTTAATTTTCGTCACGTGTCTATTTTCCTATAAAGATTTCTATTAAAAAAATTGGCCCTACCCTATTTATCTCACTTCAATATATCCAATTATGAGTTTAGTTGAAAGAGTTAAAAAAAATAAAATTAGTGGATTTTTATGACACAACTTAAATTAGTTGATTAGTGAATTTTGGATATTGAATAATTAGAATTAAAAAAAAAAAGAATTTTAGATTTATTGGGTTGATTAATAATTGGTATTAGAACAAATAGTTCGATGAGATGAGTATGGAGATGATATAGTGATGACGTAAAGTCCAACCTACTACCTTTGTCCATTTACAAGCTGATTTTACTACCTTTACTTGTATTTTGAAGATACATACACAAAAAGAACTATGTGAATTTTGATGACCATAAATATTCGAATGATATGGGTGGTACATATAGAATTTGGTTAGAGTATTTAGTTTAAAAGAAAAATTATTAAGTGTGCAAATAAAGTCTTACATTAGTTATTGAAAAAAGAAAAAGTTATTTATATACTCTTATTAGTTTGAGGCTTTTCACAGAAAAAAATTTGCACGCTAGATAAAAAAGCAAACAATAACATAATATATTAAGAATAACAAACTTAGCTAACAAAGTGATAAATACATTTTCATTTTTAATTAGAGATTTTGAATTTTAAAGTCATGAAAATGAAATCTCATTCACGTTAGTTGTGTGGTGTGCTAAAAAAATAAACATCGAACACCGTATCAAAATTAGAAAACAAAAAACAGTACTAACAAGAATTATATTCGCCACTTAAAGTTGTTCCGCATATGGGGTTGGCTAATATTGCTATCAAATTAAATATATTGAAAGGTACATTAAATTGCCAATCCAATCAAAATTGTTGCGAGATGGATAGATTTTCTTTTATTTTTAACTAAAAGTTTCAAACTTGAATTCAGCAAAAAAAATTCTAATAGAAGAATATTTCCTCCTTAAATAAATACAAAATAAATCAAAATTAATCGAAACTTATATAATATCAAGTATCAAATAAAAAATAAAAATATTAAATAATCAAGATTGTAGAACTAATATGCTTTTCTGCCGACAACATTTAT